CTGTGTCATCTTCCTGTTTGTCTGAAGGTGATTATTATTGGATGCAGAGCATTGTGTGGGGCTGCTGCTGCTTGTTGTGGGCTCATCAGCCTCACATCATTTGCAGTTCAAGTCGGACCAGAGATATTCTGTTATTCACGTCTTAGAACTGTTGAACAGATTATGATGCACTGTAATCTATATCAGATTAGATCTAAAACAAGCAGCATATATGCCTGCATCATGGGACTGAGCCTTCAGACACCTATCATTGCGCACTGCTATTCGTAATAAGCCGTGCAGCACATGCTTCCCTTTTTGTTCGTTTTCTCTCTCGTGAGCGGAGATAAAAGCTGGTAATGTTTGTCATTACGCTCGTTAAATATATGTAGACATCTGTAACGTAGCACGTCAGCCCACCGCATGTCAGGCTGCCGGAGCCATATTGACAGATCTCAGCGGAAAAAACTCTCCTGGTCCCGCCCCGCCTCTCCCCTACGACGGCTCTGATTGGTCGACGGCGCCGTCAATCATCTAACTTTTCCGACTGAAGTTTGTTGAGCGACGCAGCAGAATAGAGCAAATGTCCTCTAAAACCTTCGAGCCCCCAGCCCAGGCTGACCCCCCCACAAGGCTTACATACCATTTGCGGACTTTCTCGATGGCTGCCAGAACCTTTTTAATGTCGTCTTTAGCCCGACTTCGGGTTTCAGCGCGGCCTGAACGTCCCGACATCTTGACGCTGTTATGATTCATGCACAGATCTGAAAACTTCAAGCCCCAGTCGTCTTCACCGCGATAATCTCGCGAGACTTCCGGATCCGAGTTTCCTGCTTTGGCTCCATGCTTTACCTTCATGGCAGGCTGGGCACAATCATTAGGGTTATTAGCTAGTTATTAGCTTTTTGAAATGTTTAGCCTTTTCTGCCATTTTTTCCTCATTGAGCTCATTTTCCATCCTTCACATCTTTAGATCTTTTTACAACCTTTTACTGCGCCTTTCACATTTTGTTCTGGTTCAGCTTCTTTCAG